TATGCTATCGGTTGACAGCAGGCTGCACAGCCCTGAGCTAGCCGTATTGAATTGAAAATAAGTTGAATGTATTGAGTAAAAAATTAGTAAGAAGAGAAAAAAGATGAAATATAAAGAACAGCAAGAGCCAGAAGAAACCCCCTAAAAACCAGAACACTAGCAGAGCATGCAGACACAGGCGGCAGCTACGAAGACTCAACTGGGGGATGAAAGAAACAAAAAGACGAGGGTTTGTTGAGGGTTTTATGAGGGTTTGCCTGCTGAGGGTTTGTTGAATGAGGGTTTGAGGTTCAGGGTTAGGGTTTAGCGCTGGGGTTTGGTTGGTGAGGGTTTGTTCTCTGTGAAGCTCTTCTTCTGTGTGAATAAGAAGAAATAAAACCACAAAAAATAATAAAATATTAAAAAAAACGAAAAAAAAAACACAGATACTTGGGGGCTGGGCTGGCTGGCTGTGTCGTCAGACATGCTGCTGGTATGCATGCAAGGATGCATGCGCTGCTTGTATTGGTATATTCGCTTTCTTCGGGCTTTGTGGTTATAAAGAATATTCAGATGCATCTGTTTCATCAAATTGCTAAAAAATAACTTAAATTTGCTCTCTGTAGAGCTGAAACTTGCATTGACTGCTGCAGGTTGTCGCTGTGGGGAGGCCCAACCGGGCGGGTGCATCTGAGGGGGAAACCGGGTGTTTTTCATGAATAAAAATTGAAATAAATTGTATATATTTAATAAATATTGTATTTTATTAAAGTTTTTCTGGAAGATCGCATAAAATTCGAGTAATTAACCGCAGGTTTCCACCTTTTCTTGTTGAAGATGACGGAGCCGTCAGTGAGCGTCGATCAGTTTCCTGTGGAGGATTTATTGAATATTCATCAAATGATATTTCTTCCGAGTACTTTAGATTTATTAATTACTCATTTAGAGAAAGGAATAGCACAAGGAGGAGCCTCACCTGATCTATGTTCCGCTGTATTGCGTCTGTATTTGTTGTATCCCCAGTGCGCGAATGCAGAAGTTGTAAGAAAAATACTTATACAAAATATCGTAGCTCTCCCTGAAAATCAATTTGGTTACTATGCATGCATCTCTCCCTCTCACTTTCCAGCCCCAGAAGATGAAAAACGAGTGCAAGATATACTCACCCTTCAGGAGCACCTAGAGGCTTGCAACTTCAAAGCAGTAAGCTCACGGCCACCCCTGCACCACAGCATGCAGCAGCAGCAGCAGCAGCAGCAGGAGAAGCAATGTCTATGGCTCCCAGGTGCAGCAATAGCTTCTGTTTGCTAGCTGTTGTTTCTCTGGTTTTCGCTGCGTCTATCCCTGGGGTGTACGTGCACCTGTGCATATGCATGCATACGCTGTTCGCTGTTTCAGAACTTCACTTCTCTCTTTTCGGCTTTTGTGGTGTTGTATATGAATTGCCGTGCATACATGCTCATGTTACAGCAGCACCAGCAGCAGCAGCAGCAGCAGCAGCAGCAGAAACAGCAACAGCAGCAGCAACAGCGATCGTTCGTTACATCTTTGATTCTCTGTCTCGATGGTGTATGTTTGTGTTTCTGCTGTTTGTATTCCTGCCTTTGGCACTAAACATGCTTGATTTAGTTTAGAGTTCAACTCCTGCATGCAACTACCACCACCACCATCATCATCATTAGCAGCAGCAGCAGCAATAGCAGCAGCAACAATATCAGCAGCACCATCACCACCATCACCACCATCACCAGCATCATCATCATCATCATCATCATCATCATCATCATCAGCAGCAGCAGCAGGAGCATCAGCAGCAGCTGCAGCAGCAGCAGCAGGAATATAGATGCATGCATGCATGCGTGTGTGTGTGTGCAGGCGTGGGCTATGCTGCGGGAGCCAGATATGGTGGATGTGCTGCATACACCCGGTGTTGTGGATGCATTGCGGCGGTATGTATGTGAGGTGTTGCAGCAAACGTTTTCAACTATATCTTTGTATGATTTTTGTCAGTTACTGAATCTAAACAACAACAACAGCAGCAGCAGCAGCAGCAGCAGCAGCAGCAGCAACAGCAGCAGCAGCAGCAGCAGCAGCAGTACTGCTGCTGCAGCAGATGAAAAAGTAGAGAAACTTATAAAAGCAAGAGGATGGACTATAGAAGACAGCAGCAACGGCAGCAGCAAAGTTGTAAGGCTCACACCCAAAGACAACGAATCCCCCAAAGCTGTTGCTACCCGGGCCTCTGTCGCTCACAAAACAGCAGAAAAATATCTATCTCCCGAGGGTTTACAGCAGTGTCTTGCTCTCTTACAATCCTAAATACCAGCAGCAGCAGCAGCAGCAGCAGCAGCAGCAGCAGCAGTTGCTGCTGCTGCGGAGGCGGCGACAGCAGGATGAGACAGACTGCGGCAGCAACACAGATACAAACTGCGACAGAAGCAGCAGCAGCAGCAGCAACAGCAGCAGCAGCAGTGGCAGCAGCAGCAGCAGCAGCAGCAGCAGCAGTGGCAGCGAAGCCGGATTTTCATTTCAGGACGCCTCCTATTTGAAGGGCTACGCCTCATACTGCAGCGTCATATAATTCTACTCGCTGCAGCAGCAGCAGCAGCAGCTGCTGCAGCAGCTGCAGCAGCAGCAGCAGCAGCAGCAGAAGCTGTTTGTTGATTTTTGCTGCAGCAGCAGCAGCAGCAGTTTGTCGGTTTGCTGCAGCGCGCTATAGTAGTGCTGTATATACCCCCCTTCTTTGGGGTTCATACAAACAACAAAACAAACAAACAAATAAATAAATAAAACAAATAAATTAATTATTTTAAATAAATAAATTAAAAAAAAAAAAAAAATAAAAAAAAATAAAAAAAAAACAGCAAAGTGCTTTCT